CCCCCCCCCCGGGTTCCATGTCACGATTCCTCACTGCTCGAGTCTGCGGACTTGTTAATTTAAGAGGGAAAAAACATTAACCTCCAAACATTTCACTCTGACATTGTCTAAGCCAAATATTTGGCTGGTTGGGTGTGAAATGACTCTTCACTTCACTCGGGCCTTGAATTTTATTGTGTTTTTAAATCCAAAAATCATCTAATGTGAAACAAATGTTTTGAATTTTGTCTGTCTGTCTCACACACACACACTCTCTCTCTCTCATCTGGCCCAACACAATTGCTTTCCAACTTGCTGATTTGCCCAAAACGTTGGAAATTTTCATTTTCACTCCAACCCAAACATTTTGCTTTTTTAAGCAACCAAAGAACTGGAAAATCCATAATTCCCTCACCTCTTATCCCACCCTCCCCACTCTGCCTCATTCAGGACCAGCAACGCCCAGTGCCCCTAGCTCAGTGGTTCCCAACCTGTTTACCATTCTGGGCCGCATATGTGGCCCACCTCCAATACTACCTGTATGGCCCTGAGGATTTCACCTGGGCCTCAGCTCTGTGCTGATTGGGCCGGAGATTGAGAACCACTGCCCTAGCTTAATGCATACACCATACGCCCATGAAATCTTACCCTCTTCAGTGCTCAGCATGGTATTGAGAGTCATGTGATGTTTGGTGTTTTTCTTAAAGCCCCAGCTCCCAAAGTCGTGGGATTACGACACACTCCGTTTGCAATTTTAAAAATGTCTATAAGGCTTTGACTACATGGGAAAGCTGCACTGGCATAACTAAAAGTGAGACTCCCACAGCCCCATGTAAATGCACTCATTTCAGTTTAGTTTAAATCAGTTCAAACCAGATTGAAGCTAAACCACAATATGCCACTCTGAAGCTGCATCTACCTAGTGGTTGGCACCAGTTTCACCAAACCCGTTTAAAAGCTCATTTAAGGTAAACTGGCACAACTTTCTTGCACAGACAGCTCATCAAGAGAAATTCGGGGCCATGCTACATCATATTCACTGCCCCCCCCCATTTCACCCCAGTTACAGATGTTTTGGGGGAGGGCCCTGAGAAAATGACCCCCCCTTTCCCTCGCTTATCAGCTCTCTCATGGTCCATATTTCTAGCCCTCTAGTTACCGACAAAAGCAGAAGACAACTAAATGGAACCCGACGTGTATCTGTTTTAAATCGTGTGATTTCTGATGCTACTCTTGTGCTTTTGGACTGCTTGGGGTTGACTGTACTGCAGCACTCACAGGGCAGGCCAAGGGGTGAGGCTCTTCCCACAGTATTTACTCAGCTGTTACAGGGCCTGCTTAATTTATTGGCTGTATTAATTCAAACAACGGCCCTGCCATTGGCTCTCCATGGGCAGACTACCCTCACCCCCACATGGAGTCAAATACACGCAACTGCCCACATGGCTCTGATTGCAGCCTGGGGCCCAAGAACCCCAAACATTCGCCCTGAAGAGGGAAAACAGGAAGAGTGCCAGGTCTGGGGTCTGTAATATAAAAAGAATCTACAGGTACCTCCCCATGGTGGAAATTTCTGATCGCAGAGGGCTCCGTAACCTAGCAAAGGCAAAACAACAGCCACAGGCTGGAAATTGACACTGGATGACATCAGCCTGACACTAAGGTGCAATTTTTGAACGGTGAGGAGAACCACCCGTTGGAACAACTCACCAAGGGTTGTGGTTGATTCGCTGCTATGAGAAGCTTTAAATCAAGAGGGGGCGTCTTAGCTCTGATTTAGCTCAGCCAGGAGTTCTGGGCTCCGTGCAGCCGGCGCTGGCTGACATTCTCTGGCTTGTGCTGCTGGGAAGGCAGCTGAAATCACCAGTACAGTCCCTTCCGGCCTTAACATCTAGCAGTCAAGGGGGTTCCGAGTCCCCCTGAAAGTCTGTTCCAAGCTAAACAGCGGGAACAGAGAGGGCTGAAACAGCTTTCCCTGCTGCAGCAAAGGACCTGAGGGTTACAGTGGACGAAAAGCTGGATATGAGTCAGCAGTGTGCCCTCGTTGCCAAGAAGGCTAACGGCATATTGGGCTGTATTAGTAGGAGCGTTGCCAGCAGATCGAGGGAAGTGATTATTCCCCTCTATTCCGCACTGGTGAGGCCACACCTGGAGTATCGTGTCCAGGTTTGGTTCCCTCCACTACAGAAGGGATGTGGACAAATTGGAGAGAGTCCAGCGGAGGGCAACGAAAATTATTAGGGGGCTGAGGCACATGACTTACGAGGAGAGGCTGAGGGAACTGGGCTTGTTTAGTCTGCAGAAGAGAAGAGTGAGGGGGGATTTGATAGCAGCTTTCAACTACCTGAAGCGGGGTTCCCAAAGACAGGGCCGTCTCTGCCGCCCCCCCCCACGGGTGGGGGGGAGGGCGGCTGGAGCCCTGGGAGGAGGGCGGCGAGCCCCAGCGGGGGCTCCTCTCTCCCCCCGGCCGCCGGGGGGAGGGCGCCGGGGGGGAGGGCGGCCAGAGCGCCGGGGGGAGGGCGGCGAGCCCGGCCGTGGCCCCGCTCTCCCCGGGGGCCGGAGTGCCGCGCCGCCCCCCTCCAGGTGCCGCCCCAAGCACCAGCTTGGTGGGCTGGTGCCTGGAGCCGGCAATGCCCAAAGAGGATGGAGCTCGGCTGTTCTCAGTGGTGGCAGATGACAGAACAAGAAGCAATGGTCTCAAGTTGCAGTGGAGGAGGTCTAGGTTGGATATTAGGAAACACTTTTTCACGAGGAGGGTGGTGAAGCACTGGAATGGGTTACCTAGGGAGGTGGTGGAATCTCCATCCTTAGAGGTTTTTAAGGCCCGGCTTGACAAAGCCCTGGCTGGGATGATTTAGTTGGGGTTGGTCCTGCTTTGAGCAGGGGCTTGGACTAGATGACCTCCTGAGGTCCCTTCCAACCCTAATCTTCTGTGATTCTATGAAAGCAAGAATCGAAGGCAGAGGATCATTTCCAAGGAGGCAAAGACACTGCAGACAGTGCACCAGGATCACGTGTCTGCGTGTTGGGGGACTTCACTGCAGTGGGTCCCTCTCATTCACAACAGGCTGCCATTCTGTGACTGGCTTTCTGGGAGATCCCATCTGATCAGCACACGGCAGGGGGAGGGGGCAATTTCTGTGGCTTTTAAGGGCCAGCTGCTCCAAAGTTGGCCTCCATTTTCCCCTTGCAATTATTTCCAGGTCCTTAGTGTCACATGGGCCGGGCATCTGAGTACCTGGCTGGGCCCACACATCAGGACTGCATTGTTCTCACAATCTCAGCAGCCTCTGCATGGCTGGTTGCAATTTTGTCCTTGAGATTATTTGCACCCAGAAAATTGCAGGCATAAAAACAAAGCTCAGGCTGAAAATTTCACCCAAAAGATGTGTTCGGGGCAGGAGGAAAGATGTCCTAGGGCTGCTCCATTGCACCTACGTGGAGGTGAACCTCTCTCAAACCAAGGCAGGCCAGAGGTGGCTTCCTTCAGAGCCCAGCAACCTTTTCGATCAGGTCACGCAGCGTGGGAGCTGAGTCCCTTTGCTGCCCCCACCCAGCATGTGACAGCTGACAGGATACCATCCCACGATGCCTTTGCAGCCAGCGGGCTGGGGCAGACCTACTCACCACTCCCCAGCAGGAGTCCTGGCTGGTGCTCTTTGCTGGAGCTGGGAGGTGACTGGTGGTTTAAGGAGGCTGGAGGTTTTCTACTACAGCAATTCTCAACCATAGGTCCAGGGGGGCCATGAGCAGGTTTCAGAGCCAAGCAGTGTTAGACTCGCTGGGGCTCCAGGGCAGAAAGCCAAAGCCCGGCCGTGTGGGGCTTAAACGCAGGGCCCTGGGCCCTGCCACCTGGGGCTGAAGCCGAAGCCTGAGCAACTTAGCTTCGCAGGGCCCCGGACAATTTCCCAGCTTGCTACCCCCATCACTGGCCCTGGCTGCTATATGCAGAAAAACAGCTGTGTGGCTCAGGTGGGCCAGGGAGTTTTACAGCCTGGTGGGGGGATTCGGAAAGAAAAAGGTTGAGAAGCCCCTGCCCTACCAGTGTGACTCCCTGCCACCCCCTGCAATAACCACCCTAAACCCAACAGCCCTGGGCTCTCTCCTCCTGCGGGCCCCATCTGTGGGGGGCCTGGGTATCAGAGCAAGGAGGAGAACAGGGACCAAGGCAGTGCAGAGCTGATGCAGCCCAAGGGCTGAGCAGTGGGAAGGCTGCGGGGGCAGCACAGGTCTCTGTCCAGTTCCAGCATGCTGGGAGGGTCGGGGTCGCTCTACCTCATTTGATGCCTCTCCTCAGGGGGGGTATTAAACAGCCTCATTGCAGCTTCCTCTACCAAAGCCCCTCTTCCGGCTCCCGGCTAGGGCTCTGCAGGTGTTATCGCATGGAGCAGTGATCCAATGGAGGGAGCCGGGCAGGGCTCAGGGGAAGCCCAGCTTTGTCAGAACCACATCTAGAGACTCAGCTGTGAAATGCAGCTTTACCAAAGCTCGGGAGAGGTTGTTGGGCCCTTGCAGAGCGGGATAGAGGATTTAGATGGCTCCACCCACTGTGCACCGCTGAAAATGACACCAGGCGTGGGCCAGGGAAAACTGGTCCCTAGCACTCCCTTCCAGAGCCAGGCCCCAGACTCACTGCGTGAGCTGCAGCAAGTCCCAGCACCGCTCTTTAGC